ACTGGCTCAAGTGCTCAAGTTCAAGAAACAGGGTCCATATATAATTGTTTCCTAAAGACAAGCCATCTGGCTGCTTATGGATTGAACACGAGTGGGTCCTCTTTCTTGTATAGCACTTTACAGTTCAACAAACTTCGCTTTTTTACCTATTGTGGGCTTCTTAAAATAATCCTGTGCAGTAACTAAAATAGATAGTTTCAGTATTTTCAAATATGAAACTGCAGCTCAAAATAATTCAGGGATTTGCACAAAGTCATAGCCTACAAGGAGAGATCCAAATTTAGAACCTAGATCTTTTGAGTCTTGGGAACTCAGAGGCAATGCATATAGCAAACAGGGCCATCCATTGAAACCTCTAAGCAATAGCTTGGGAGAAATGGTATCTCTTGGGCTCAGGTGATGGTAAGAAGAGGCCTAGCACATTCAGGCCACTTCCTATCAGGTGAGTCACAGCTGTTTGTTCTTGAAACTAGCAGTGACCAGAAACTGTTCTAATCCTTTTTGGCCTGAGTTTGCTGTTATACAGGATCAGCTTTGGGAAACACAAATGCTAAACCCTCAACAATTGACTTAGGGCATGAATCACCACAGTTGTCCAATTCAGTTGAAGTCAAAATTACATAAATCAGAAAAATTGCCTTGCCTTTACATCATATGTGCATTTATATATACACTCACTTGCTCGACATTTACAGAAATGCAAAAATTCAGTTTACCATTGACTCATGAGGTTTGTCTGCTTTGTTTCTTGGGCCATAAATGACAACAAACAGCATAATTCATGGGTACATAAACATTCTTTACGAAAATGTATATAAAATGCCATAATCCTAGATGATATACCACGTGGTGAACTCCATTCTTTACAACATATATTTAATGAAGGGTTTTATGGGCAATGGATGATCCTTAAATATTAGTGATAGCCAATAAATTTTGATTACCTTTAGTGACTTAGCTACAGAGAAAGGAAAGCTCGTAATTGTCACAGACTCTCACTGTAGGCCCACAAAGTTTGTTTTCAAATAGTGAATTATAAGTAGTAAAAAAAAAATCCCATATGGTGCCAGGAGTTTGTTGGAGTGTTGACACTTTCTTAGTGTATGTAGGCGTTCCAGATGCCTTATAGAAGAGGAGTCATGTTTTCTATTGAAATCTGAGCAAGATTTATTATATTTTATTGTCAAATAATTCCAATCTTTTTGGTTGTTTCTTTCCCCTTCGTAGTGCAGAAACAAACAGGGAAGTTAAATACATTTGGAAAAACAAAACTTAAGCAACCTTCACATTAACACAGTTTCTCTCCAAATCCCTCATACTTATTGGATATATTTTCATCTAAATGGGGAAATATTGCCATCCTTGAAATTGAGTAACATCCTGTAAACATCAAAGACAGATGGAATTATAAATATCCAGTTTGATATCTCAATTTTAGATTAATTACAATCACATTGCTTGGCCGACGTGCCATTTTACCATATATATGCTCACATTATATCTCCATCTGTTTATGCATATGAATATTTACAAAGGAACTTTGGTGAGTAGGTAAACAATAATAAACATGTTCTACATAGCCACGGTGGTTGTTTGAGATCTAGTACCCTATCAATGTCTGTCCATATATATGCTGGTGATACTGAGGAGGTGGTCAGTGACCATTAAAATGATTTGCAAGTATGTTATGAAGTACTACCTATTTCCAATTGTCTATGGTTTATAAATAGAGGTAAATGTGTTTCAATCCATCAAGATTAAACAATGTTGATGTCTGTGTTCCTGTTAAAGGTTTAGTAAGATCAGGACTTGAACTTCTAACAATTGACGAGTCCCCTTATTAAAGAGGTGAAGTAGGTGAACTCTGTTAAAAGCAACAAACAAACACACATAACAACAACAGCAGCAGCAGCAAAACTTGAGTCTGCATCATGAGTAAAGTCCTAGAGATATGTGCTACATGCTTTCCTTTGCATAATAGTCTAAAGGCATGTTCAGATTCATTCTATCTAGAAAGGAACTTCAGGTACTGCAGTGCTGCTGACCTCCAGATCTGTGGATCACATTTTGGCTTTGGAATGGAAGTGGTGCTGTGGTCTTCATCAGATCCTTCTATGAGTTTTATAAAGACTATAAGTCTCCTCTAAGAAACAGCCAGGTTAGCCATGGATGGGTCAGACTCTCTCTTTCAAGTTTGGTCATAATTATACAGTTTTCTTTTTTCAAAAGGATAAAAATAATAGAATAGGAAAGCAAAATGTCCACTTTCTTATTGCAATGTACAATTGGACTAAAGGTTATATTAAATAAAAATAATGATCAATTCTGAATTCCTACAGAAACGCTTGTTTTATGGAAACAAGAAGGCAAATGTTTTGGAGACTTGTCAGCTAGGTTCCTGTCATTGAAGCATCAGATCTACAAACCTCCCTTGTCTCCTAATGCCATTTCCAACTATTCAGGGCCACACACTCACTAAGGGAGGATTTTTCTCTCCCTGCCATTTCACTTTCTCAGTGCCAAGCATCTACTGTGGCTGCCAATGAATCAAGTTCTCCTTCCTCTCCTCGCCTGGAAGCTCATACTCCCTGCAAAATGTCAGAAACAAAGTGGAAGCATGCCTTTCCCAGGCTAGACTTGCAAAAAGAAAGTAACAGCACTATTCTTTACCAGGAAATTGACCCACAAAGCGGACTGGTTCGAGTTAAAGAGATTGAGAAGAAGGTCAGCTAAGAAAACAAAGGTAACTTGCTCCATAGTTCCTTCTGATAAAGCTCCACCAACCTCAAAAATAAAGCCTTGTCTCAGTCAAAGAAAATAAAAAGGAGGGCATGTTAGGTGAAGTCTGGAGAAGCAATGGACTTGCACAGGTGACTCCTTTGCATGCTGTCTGTCTGTCTTTCCTCTCCCTGGGAATAACTGATGCTGGTTCATTGCCTTTTCTCAGACTCCATCTCTACACTGTAATATCTGATAAAGTGTGGTAATTAAAAAAGAAAACAAAACAAAACTCTAATTTCTTTGAGCAGTCATCATGCAAACACATATCCATATCACATATGAAATGAGAATGCCTTCTCTAGACATAGACGTCTATGTATTCCCCACATGAAGTGCCAGAATCCATCTATTCCGCTCACTAACATGTCCATGTTTCTCTGACGATACCCTAGGATGTAGGTGGTGCTGACTTACAAAGGCATCATGAACTTTTCAAAAATTTAAATCAAAAAGTTTTATACATTCAGAGTCGACACATTTCTCACCTTTAATCTTGTAACCTGGGAAAACAAGTCACTCTAGAGCAAGCGTAATCATAGAGCTTTGCTGCTTGTAAAGGGTTAAGGATGTTAGGGAATACCAATGTCAGCAGCTGAGACGGCATGCTTGTGTGTTTGCAAAAATATTTTCTGCATTATGTCCAAATCCCTTTGCAAACAGATAAATTACTCTATAAATCGTATTACCCCGTGCGGATAAATCACACATGCAGGTTTACAAAGCTGGAGAGCTACAAGGGGAAGTCCGCTCTGGTTAGGAGGGTATTGGGGATTCATAATCACTCAAAGCTCAGGAAATGAAGAAAGAAGTACTCACACACTGTATGCTCACTCTTTTGATGTCTGCAACAACACATGTACATGTACATACAACACACACACACAAAACACACAAAACGCACCATATCCCACCACACATGATTTCATCTCTAACAAGGCCAGAGATCCCAGAGCAGGACATCCTGTGACAGCCAACCAAATTTATTTCTGAGAAAAGAAAAGAAAACTTTGCTGCTGTAGGCAGCTCTGCCAGAGAACTGCTCCCTGATGCCCCGGGGTTTATGCACTATCAGCTCCTCGCACACAGATTAGAGGTTGATTTTCTATGGCATACTGTTTTTTATTGCCACAGCCGCAATATTACCTAGATAGACAGACTAACACTGGGTCATTATATTTGGAAGAAATGGGATGTTAAAAGATCTCCGAGGAAAATACTTTCCTTTTCTTCCTCTTTTACTGTTATTATCTGCCAGAGAGTCAAGTAAAGCTGTGAAGGGAGAAGGTAGAAGGGAAATACAGGAAAGAAGCTTTGAGCTTTAAGGAAATATAGTAATGATTAGGTATCATCCAAGTCTCTCTACCTTAGAAGGGTCAAACTCTCAAGGACTTGGGATGCTTTACCAAATTTCCATCCCAAATTATATTGCAGAGCTTGGCAGAGCTGCATAGGCATACGACTTTGAACTCAATAATCAATTTGTAGTATCTAATGTAATGTCAGGTTAATGCCATCTCCACCTCTGTTTAAGTTTTCTATTCTTAAAGGCCTGCCATTAGGCTGGATCCTTTTCTTCCGTTCTCCTGATTCTTCTGTTGATTTCTGTCCCCATTCCAAAAATGCCTCAGTAATCTCCAAAGTTGTAAGATTGATTTATTGCCTACGATGTCAATTCAGAGATCTTCACAGAAAGTCTTCTATCAGAACTACTGCTAGAGCAGACTGAGCCTTGCTGAGCAATACACACACACACACACACACACACACACACACACACACACACGAACAAGGAGAATGCAGCCTTGCGTACCACGCTTTAAAAGCCATAACTCAACAACTCTTGTGTCTGAATCGAGGAATCTCAACAAAACTCTAAGTGCCAAGCATGAGCAATTACCACAGCATGAATACAGCCCAATGCCACTAATGCTATAGATAAAGTTCGGCTTTCTTGACTAGAGAAAACAACATTCAAAGAACCGAACAACATTCCAAAAGCACCTTTGGCTCTTGACAGAGACCAGACTCCCTTGAATTTTGTTCCCGGCTAAATCTTCAAGTCAATACAAGGGACACACACACACACACACACACGCCCACAAACCCACAAGCCCACAAATACAGGGCAGCTGGAGTTCAATATTACACACACACACACACACACACACACACACACACACACACACACACACCGCAGAAAAGTTGCTCGCAAGCCCTACCTGAGGATGGCCGTGTCCCCCTGCCTCACGGTGATGTTGTCCGTGCCTCGGTTAAAATCCACGCTGCGAACGGGCAGTCCTGTGGGAAGAAGGCAGAGCAGTCTCAGTAGGACCAGTGGCAACTGTTTCCGATCGGGCTGAACTCTCCCGACCATGGTGGCCTCGGCGAGTTGGTCCGCGGTGGACTCGCGTGTGCGCGCTGCTGGCCACGGAGAGGGGCTCTAGCGCGCGGGGCTCGCAGCCACTGCCAAGGCTGCTCGGGCGGGTCCAGCGCGCACTCCCTTCCACTTTGCCTCGCTCTTTCCCTCGCTCAGTCTCGTTCCCCTCTGAGATTTAACAAAGCCCTCATCAAATCCAAGTAGGAGTGGGAGAGAAAGTGGAGGAACAAATTTTCCGAAGGACTAGTGAAAATATAAAATGCTTTAATGATGAGGAGGCGACTGTCAATGGCAAGGGTGCTTCCTTAGACTCTCTGTAGCTGGCTGCTTCTCTGCCAGCGTCTGGGCTGAGCTCCTTTCCTCTGTAACCCACTTTCCCAGGCAGCAGGAGAGCCTGCCAGGGAGAGTAAAGAAACAGCCTCTCGCAGCAGCAGCAGCAGCAGCAACCCAGGAGCTCTCTCCCCCTCCTCTTTCCTGTTTCTCCCTCCAGTCCCAGTTCTCTCTACTCAGCACCTCCCCCCTACCCTGCTGGTTTTCAACAGCCCCGCCACGTCATCCACCCCTCCTCCCACTCCTCAGCGTGGCCCCTTGCTTTGCACAACTGCCCCCTTCACCAGCAGCCAGCCTCAAGGAAAGCCTGATGCGCCTTTGGGTTGTCAGGACAACAGCTCCATCTGAGGCCTGGCTGATTTCCTTAAGAAGAGGGGATGGGGCTCAGAGGTACTGTTAAGGCAGGGAAGAGGAGATGGACTTAAGCTGTGAAAGGACAAGAGAAAGGGTCCTGGAAAGAAGAGGGAAGGCATAGCAAGAAAGAAATGCAAACCTTGACAAATGGAGCTACATACTCATGGATAGGAAGGCATACTGGAGAATGGGCCAGAAAGATGAGGAAGGATGAAGAAACTGGACAAGCTGAGTCTCAAACTGAAAGCCAAGGTTGATTTCAGAGTCCTGGCAAATGGCTTTCCACACTCCCATGGTATTAAACCTTTCTCCTCTCCCGAAGTATTTAAAAGGTTTATTTTATCTCCCCTCTTCATCCCCGCCCCCACCCCTGAAAATCCCTTATAAAAGATGGATTGGAGACAATGCTGGTATTGAGTGGTCCGGGGTGTGAATGCTTGTCTTGTCTTTCCCAAGTGCCAGCCTCAGCAGCTGATCCTTGATCCCCAAATCAACCTCACTCTCCATGAAACCCACAGACAGACACCTGAGTGATGGGATTTGGGATTATCGTTCACATGGTACTTTGAAGCTAGCTCACCAGTTTCTAATGCCCCTTACTTCTCAGAAATGTTCCTGTACAAGGAAGTAGATCTGAAAGTTTGTCATTTACAAAGAGATCTAAGTCTATAGCCAGATGCCAAACAGGTGTAAAGAATTAGCATTTGTCACTTCTACACAGCTACCCAACCAGGCAGTGTAGTCCATAAGAGGTGAACATCATAGTCACTCAAGTGACAGTTTCCATGCCAGAGAGCTCTCTCAGTCCTGAGGTTGGAGATGGGGTAATCTGAAGACTTCATTTCTGTTCTGAATATCTGAATATCTTCTCCCTCTCCTCCTCCCCCCCGCCTTTCTCTCAACTTTTACAGAGTACAAAAATCAATGTTATAAAGTCTATGAAACCAATTATAGTCAGCTTTATACAGTTGACATTACAAGACTCACTTCTCCAATCAAGAGGCAGCAAATACTTCCAGGTTTCAGATTGCATGCAAAGGAGGTGAGCAGAGGAGCAGATATGTAGAGTTTCCAGGTTTGAGCAAGCAAACTACTCTCAGACCCCAGGAATCATTCTTGGTTTTCTTTTGGCTTCTTGGCACAGACAGAGCTTTGGAACTTGACCTGTTTCCTCTGTGATAGCAAGGACATTTGACAACAGCAACTGTGCCTTGTATCTTAGTTAAGCTGATAAATCTTGGAGGCCAAATGCAAGCAAATGGTGAGGAACGAGTTTGCTAGCTCGCATCTCTACATCACAGTATACTATCAAAGAAGCAAGGACAGGAACTCAAGGCAGGAATCTGGAGGCAGGAAGAAAAGCTCCTCATGGCTTGATCAGCTGTTTTCTTAAACAACCCAGGACAGGACCGTCTTGCACACGTGTTTCTGCTACCAGTCATCTGGAACTTCCCAACCCCAATAATTAAAACAGAAAACACCTCACAGACTTACCTACAGGACACTTTTATGAAGCCATGTGCTCAGTTAAGAATCTCTCTTCCTCTGAGTAGCTAGGATTGTGTGAAGTTGAGGAAACCAACCAGAACACATGGTTAGCTATAGACATTTGTAACCAAAAATCATAGTAAGAGGAATAAGCTATGAAACCTCAGCAGACCTCAGCCTTAAGGAGTCATTTACAGCAGGTATTTGTCTTGTCCCCCAGAATATTTAAAGAATTTTTTTTTCTGGCAGTATTTTATCAGTCTAGAGGTAGATGACTTACTACAGATTATGTGAGAAAATAAAGATATATTGTCTTTGAAGAAAATACTTTAAAATATCGGAATCTGAATTGTCCCAATTCAAGGTTTATAAAGTCAATTACTTTTATTTTCACTGTGAGTTCATTTCACATGAAATCAAGATGTTCTCTGTCAATGTTCAGGAGCAGTCTTAGGAGGCAGGAGTGAACCATGGCTGGCTCGGGACAAGGCTGTTGAAATTTTGAGCTCATTTTATCAGTAAGGAAATGGCTAGATAAAGTGGTTAGTTGAATCATAAGTTCTGTAACTGTCAATGGGAATGGAACAAATGAGTTTAGCATGCTAAAGGGGGATGGCAACAAGTTTGGAAGGAGAAGAGCATTTTCGTCTTCCCATACATTGCCAACGGGCTTGACTGTCCCTGCCAAGGATCTTGTTGCTTTTAGAAATGGATGATTTGCTTACACAATGACTTAGATATGGGGCATGTTCTCATGTTGTAAGGTGTTCTGCTAATAACAGAAGGAAAAAATAAAGAGATGGTGGACAGATAGCTTACAGGATGCCTTAATTCCATTGATCATGCTAGTAAAGTGGTATTGTCCACTGCAGACACAGTGTATTCCTAGATGCCATGACAAGAAGGACTAGACTTCTCAAGGATAAATGCAATGCCTCAGTGGACAGGATTTTGTGTAAAGAAAAGATTAGAGGTTTTGTTCATCTATTTATATGATTTTCCAGACAAAGAGAAGGATGATATAATAGTAGTATTTTTGTGTGTATGAAAGATGCCAACACATGAGTGTTAACTAATTTCTATACCAACAAATTCTTGCTACTAGCATGAGTGACCTCCTAGGAGGTATTTAGAGCAAATGTGATGTATGAAACCAAATGCACAAAATAATTCACAGAAGTACGAGCAGGAACGTAGTGTTTGTAGATAATCAATCACATTTTGGACTTGCCACACTAAGGAAAAGATATGTTTCACTAGTCAAGATTATAATCACAATCAAAATAGAAAGAGTTAAACTAATTAAGAAGACAAAAATTACAAGTACATATTTGCAAAGTAAAAATCCAAAAAGCAATTAAGAAGTATATTTTTTAATCTTTATTAAGCTTAGTCTGGTTCTTGGGGAAACTTTGGTTTAACTTAATTAACTTGCTGTGAGCATATATGGTAAAACACAATCTTTAAAGAAAGATCATAGTTTAGAAGATTTCTAATGTAGAATGATCAGCAAGTCCATCTAATTCAAGAAAAATTTCAGCCATGAAGCTTATTACGGAAGTCAATAATTCAATGTAATTTACATTCAGATAAAACTTCAGGAGCTTCTTTCTCCCAACAGAAGAGTTTATGATTGTTGAATATAAGAATGGAAAGATGACTGACTTTCCTATACCACCAAGTGTAAACAACAGCATTCATAGAGTAATGAATCCATCATCTTCCCCTGGCTTAGTATAGTCTCTCAGACCATCCCCTCTTCAGGCCCTCATTGAGTCCTTGTTTTCTCTCTTATAATCTTATATTTCTGATACATCAATAGAGAATAAAACTGCATCTAGTATCTCACCCTCATGGCCATTCCCCTCCAAACCACCTCGCTATTAACTCCTCCACTACTTTCCTTCCTTAGAAATATTGAGAGAAAACACATAGATGACTTTCTGAAAGGTATACAGGGTATTTTTCCAGAAACACTCTATCCATGCTTGTGAGCAGCTTGGCAAAAATGAACATACTTGGGTTATTTGTGAGGCGAGCATGGCTGTTAGCCATGTGAAACAGCCATCATCACCCAAGTAAGATGATCTTAACTACTACTTTAAAATAACATACTGCCTTTCCAAAAGAGGCTTTAGGAGGTTCTGGCACTCTCCAGAGACAAATGCTGCAAGAAAAACAAAAACTGGCTCACATCTGAGAACCCTAAGAAGCATGAAGCATTTATTCCTCTGTTTAGCTTTGTAAGGTAACAGATTCACAGAAAATCCAAATGTAGCCGGAATGTACAACTAATTATTTGGCTACATTGCTTGCATTTTATGTTAAACCTGTCTATAACATTATTAAGGAACCATTCTAAATGTCCACAGTTTTAAGATCTTAATCACGATAATATCATGTCTGCTCTCTACTTTCATAAGTAGAATTAGCATTTCCATAAGAGCTAGAAATGCAAAATTGTTAAAACTTCTCCTCGGGATCCCTGCTATCCTATCCTCATTGATTTCATTATAAGCTAGCAGTGTTCAGGTACTTTGGCTTATGCTCATAAGTGTCGCATTATCTTCTGACTTGTCAGTGGAATTTGGTCCTTTAAATTTAACTTTATTCATATGTGCCTTCCTGTCTTATAAAGCTATTCAGCCTCAAGTCAGTTAATGTCCATTTTTTCCTCATAGTCCTCCAGTGATGTAAAACCCCTGACTCAAATTCTGCACCTCAAGAATCAGTGTAAAAGGTTTACTTTTAGGGCATGCCATGGTTCATTGTTATCAAATCAGTCCTCGGCCTCTAACAATGTGGGTTTTGCTCACTTGTTCTATTTTTACAGGCATCAGTGCTTGGATGTGTCCCAGTTTCACAAGGTCTTGG